CTGTTCGCAAAGCACTTTCACTGAAGAAAAAGAACAATGTTCCTTGGTTAGGTGTTAGGTGTCACCTGTCACGGCTGGTCATGATAATAAGCAGTCAATTCCAACTGCCTGCATCGCTATCTAAAACATACTGTCTCATTATCTGTTAGGACAAGACTGTCTTTTGGGCAAAATTAGTTGTGCAAACTATCAACACTAGGGTAGGTAAGAGGTATGAAGCGGTGTGAAATTTTTCTGTTTTTTTCTTGTCTTTCTCAATACTTTCTAACAAGTTCTTGTTGTCATGGCATCTTAGTTATTTTGGGTTGCTAGAAAGATGTCTAGAGAAAGTATTTGTCATTTTGTTGTCATTTTGAGAATTTAGCTGAAGCTCTTTGCTGAGGGGATGCCCCACCCTCTTTAAATTGCTCAATGATGAATTCAACTCATGCAAAACCTTTTCGTCCAACTGTTGTTCTTTCAACACTACTCATTGAAATCAGCGGGTTGTTTTTTGTCCACGCCTACATCAGACATGATGGATCACCTCTGGGCCAAATACATTTTTATCAAAAAGGCATTTTTTTCTTTAGAAATTATGACCCAGGGCGGAGTGGAAAATGCAGGTTCTGTATTTTCCCATATCTACCTGCAAATTATGTTCTCTAGATTGTGTGTAGTCCTTAACAAAGCCTCTACTTCCTTTTCCAGAACATTTTCCCTGCAGCGTTCTAGTCATGTTTCCCCTCCACAGATCTGATCTGTTTTACAGTAGCTTTTCTGTGAAATCAAACAAAACAAAGTTAAAATCAGAGAAAGATAACTAGATGTTGTAATTTACCCTCTTTCATGTTTTTCAGCAAGAATGGCCTTTTGGGCAACCTGGGTTTTTCTTTTTTTAGCCATTATTATTTTTGCATTATCCGATTATGATTACCTTAAAGGTATAGTGGAGGATTTTCACGAATTTATGAAAAGACTCGTCCTCTCCAAAAATGCACATGCACAACCCTTTACCCGCTCCCGAGAGGGAACGCCAATTAAACATGTGTGAGAGCGTGCACAAGCCCATTTCTCCTTGTGTACACTCTGTTTAAAAGGTGCTGTTTGCATTGCTCATACAAGCTTACTTTCCAAAAGAAGATTTGCAGTTTTTCCACTATATCAGACTCACCAAAGTGAAGATGGGGACGAGCACGTAGGACGGCCTTACGTAATCATATCACATGAGTGATTGACAATTAGGAGGACCACTTATTTTGATGATCCACCCGGAAAAATAACATTCTCCACTATACCTTTAAGGTCACAAATGGATGGCCAGACATTCTTCTTCGGGATTTTAATTGCAGAGCAGAACGTTTGATTCCTTTAAACAAAGCAAACTATACAAAACCTTAAAGCAGCAACAGACATACAGACCATCAGACTTCCACCACCAACTTGTCCATTGTTTTTTTCAGCCAGGTGTAGTGGGATTCATGCCATCCATAAGGTTCAAGTCTTGCATAATCAGTTAACTGAATGTTTTTCCCAAAATGAATCAGCAATATGTAGTTTAAAAAATTTAAGAAGGGCTTTTTTTGTTATCAGTTATTGTTTGCCACACAAGGGTACCATCTTTGACCTATTATCTAAATTGACCTGAACTAATGCATGCAAGGCCAGCCACTCCTTTGAGAGTTCATTGCTCTCTCTGTGTCTTAATGACATCTAAAGGTATTAGCAATGGCTTTGTAACTCTTCCTGTCTCAAATCTTTACATTACTTTTTTAACATATTCTTCCATTAAATTTCTGGACATCTCATTACTTTTTTAAATTTTTATGAATCTTCCTTATGTCATCAAACAGGTCCTGTCTAGTGATATCTTGAAAGTGCAGGTCTGTAAGTAATTAAACCAGAGTTAAAACAGGGATATCATACTTATCTTTCCAAGTAAATCTCATTAAGCACAGTCATTACATTATTTTCCAAGGCAGACAATTATTTGGGGGCGGGGCTTTTGTTCCTTAAAAAAAATATATATTTTTTTATTTATTTATTCAGGTTTATTTGACTACTATTTGATGATCTGAAATGTCTGAATATGACAAAAACCCAAAACTAGCAGAACTTGGTAAAGTTTGCTACTCCAAATGTTATAATTTTAATAAACTTGTTAGCTTTTCAATTGGATGATAAAGCACATGGTGAATTTATACACAATTTACTCATGTTTAAGGTGTAACAAATTAATTCAGATTGTGTTTTATCATTGCAGGGTAGAGTGGAGGTGGAGGCAGGAAAAGAGGGGATGAAGTTTGAAGCAGGACCATTCTCCTTCTACGGGATGATGGCTTTGACAGTATCACCTGGTAAGATCTCTAAAGTAGGTCTTTGTCATAATAATAAGGGAAAATTAGAAGAAAAACAAAGATAATGAATTAAAATTAGGGGAAGGAAAAATACTGAATTCATTTTTAACCTCACATTATAGATGATACTTCCCAAATATCTTTACTGCACAGATTTTTTTCCTCTTACGTGTAATCTAAGGCGCTACAAAGATTCTTGTTTCTAAGCAACGACCCACTTATTGAGTTAAGAGTGCTTCTGTAAAAGGCCAGAATGACGTCATTGACAAACATCATGAAAGAGCTGGTGATTGACTCAGCCCTTCCAGTTCATTCATAAACTTCACAGTCTACTATTTTCACTAGATCCCTGTGGTTCAGCCTCTGTTGTTTGGATTAGGGGGACCCCTGGTGGTGAGATGGTGGAACATCTCTCCTACCTTCCTACCTTCAATAAAACCAAATACTCCTCTGTGGTGCCAGTCCTCCTTATCTGAAAACTAATCATTTTTGATTGGTTCTACTCTTAAGGTTTACATTTTCTTTTGACAGCTGTTGATTATTTCTGCACTTTTAACAGTCTCTTCCTTTCTTTGTTTGTGTTTTTTTTCCTCCTCATTTTTACTGATCCCTCTCCCTCCTCAAGTGCCGCTGTCCCTGTCTCGTACGTTTGCAGTCAGTAGAGCAGAATCGTTAGCAGGATCTCCAGGTATGGCTTTTTTTTTTTCTGGCTTTTAAACCCCACACTCACTTGTGCTATTTTATACTACCAGTTAACAGGGCTACTGTGCAGTCTGTAAAAAAAACTGGTGTTTAAACTAAAGGCTAATAATGTCTGGATAGTTATGGAGAAGAAAATAAGATTACATAAGTTACCTCAATTAAACATTGTTTCCTTTCTCCCTTTCTTTTTCTACTGCCTTTTCTTTCCTTGTGTTCTACCACGTGCCTTTCTGCACATCATTCCCTCCTTGTGTCTTTTCTTCCATCTTTTCTTTAATCCTTACCACCATTCCTCCTTTCCTTTTCACCCTCTGCTTTCCTTTAGTCTTTCCTTCCTTGAATCCTCTCATTCTTTCTTCATTATGTCCAACCTTACTTCCCCCTTTCTTTTGTCCTATGTCACATATCATGTCTTGTGTCTCTTCCTTGATTCCTGTATACCCCCTTTCCTCCCTCCCTTGTGTCCTAGAAACATTACCATAAAATGGCATTGGACTGAAGTGTTTTAAATTTCAATATAAAGTAAAAAGAACTTTAAGAAATCAGATGCCATGTAATATTTGCTCAAAAAGTATGTAGAACTGGTATTAATGTGAGAGCTTAGAAAACAGGTTTGAGTCTTGATTATTTCAATCCCTTTAATTAGTTGAATACTTCCTCTTGTTTGTTCCACTATGAAACACTGTGTTCAAACCTGTCTGCTGAAGAAAACAAGGGAGAAAAACACATTTACACTTAACGCCCCCATCCCGAGCTGTTAGTCAAGTGTCTGAATTGTGCTATAGATCGCAGACCCCAGATTGTAACCCAGCTCCGCCCCTCTTGCCCCTAACCTTTGACCCTCCCACTGCATAAACAAGACCTGCAGCTACAGCCCCCTGCTGGACGCTGCTGAGTGCACATACAAGGACACATGCATATGTCCACATGTGCAGCCCCCAATTCCACTGAGCCTCTACACTCTGCACATATCCAAAGACAGACTGCTTTTCACACAAACGCACCCTCGTGTTTATATCTGAACAAAAACAGTCACATTGAACCTCTTTTTCCCCTCCTGTTCTGATAGCAAGCTTTGATCAGCAACAAGCCTGTATCCCTAAAACACGTCTCTTTATGTGTTGACCGACCTGGCTCAACCAGCACCTAGAATGTAGAGTACTAATCCAAAAGAGTTGACACGCAGAGTCTTTGGCCCTCTACTCACCATCACCCCTCCATTTACCCCTCACACACACACACTCATCCCGATGTGGGATTACATAAATTCCAGTCTATGTAGTAGTATTAGAGCTGGCCAAGCTCTTTTGACTTTGTTGTGTGTGATTTTCATCTCTTTAAGAAGTGGAAAACGTAATCTGGCTTTAATTAAAAGTTGAAGGAAAAAAAAAACAGATCAAATCTTCTGGTGGCCATGGAAAGCAGCAGCAGCAGCAGACACTGGACAAAACCCTGCCTCACTCTCTGCCCCTTAGTTATACCTCTTTATGAGGTCTATGTACAAATGAGATATCCATATGACACAGCAGGTCTGTGTATATACACTCTGTGTGTATATGTAACACTCATAATCAAAACAGCTGCTAGGTAATACAGAATTCACATGAATCAGTGGCTCCCTCTGTTCCTTATAAGGATGAGAACTGTTTAAAAATGGATAAGGATGGAAAACTTGGCTCAAAAGTACTTTCATATTAGTTTCTTGATAGATTTTTGACCCACATTTGTAAAAACAAAAATGATAAATATGCAATAACTCAGTTAAATAACACTCTTAAATACCTTTTTCCAATATCAGCCTTAGGTCTCCCTGTGTAGGTGTCTGTCAGCAGCCAGCTACCATGTACATCAGCTATGTCATGATGGGTCTCAAAGATTTGACCCACATGCAGAAAACCACTCAGAGGCACGGAAAAAGCTAACAGTTTATTGGTGAGGTTACAAAACTCAGAGAGAGATAGAGAAAACAGGTTATTCTCAGATGGGGGCAATCCTGCGGTCAGGTGAACCGGAACCGGAAACTCTAGGGGGGAGATCACAGTGATGAGTTCAAGGTCCGTAGGGAAATTGATCGAAGAAGATGAATGGAACAGTTTTGATTCATGTAGTATGGTTCTTGATTGATCCTTGGGTCCAGTTTGTGGGGGAATTGTACAGAGATGATGTTACTTGTTGGAGGGCGGACAGGCAGATGGGTCCAGAGGAGCAGCGGAGCAGACTGTCACAGACTTTCTTGAGGAGGACTTGAACGGATCTGGTGAAGGTTTCCCCTTGCTCAGTGTGAGACGAATAATTCCTTTCCAGGGGAGAACGACCAGGCTTATCCAGCGGATCTGGGGGTTATCCTGCCGGAGAACGCAAAAGAGACAAGAAGGTAAAAACCTTAGACTCAGAGAGGCAAAGACTAAAAGGTTAGACTCAGCTAAACTTAGTGAGTCTAGAGTACCCAATACTGGTAAACACACTGGCGTTGAGATGGTGACAGTCCGCTGCTCAAATACTCCTCTGGTGATGACCCAATGAGCCGCAGGTGTTGGGGGGGGGAAACCGGAAGAGGCCCTCCAGGCCAAACAGGGGAAAGGGCACCATCTAGTGTGTAGGAGGAGACACTAAAAAGAAAACAGAAAAACATTCCCCACAAACGGAACCCTAACAAGCTGACAGTTTTATATTAATATTTTCTTTAAATTTGCTCTTTCAGTATTAAGAGAGTACCGCCATTAGCTCAAAATGCTGCAGCCATTAACGCGGCTTCGTTATAGTTAATTAAGCTGCTCCGGTATTGTACATTAGATTCACTGTGCTATAAATGCAGAACCTGAATTTTCCATTCTGCCCCGGGTCAGGTAGTGGCTCCATCACTTTAACATAGAAACAGTTGACAGTTAAAAGTTTACAATTGAAAGACCAAACATCCAGACTTTGAATCACATTTTCTGAACTTTCAGTAATAAAAAAACTCAGTTCTTACAGTTAATTGACAGCAGACACAAGCAATATGCTGCTAGCATTGGCAAAATACACACTTTACTGGTTTGTTGTTCCATTTAAAGCCTACGAGTACACGGCCGTAGAGTGATGATGCAACCCTGACGTAATCTGAGTCTAAGTGTGCAGAGTTAATCTCCTTTGAATTTAGCAACGGATCCAAACCTTTTGTTACACAGCCAAGTTTTTGAAAAGTCTGCACAGAGCGTAATGACATGAGAAATAATTTGTTTTATATCAAATGAAGTTGATGCTTGAGTAAAAAAAATATGCAGTGTTGCTTCAAACCTTTCTTTTCTTCTGGTAAAGACATTTCCTTATAGTTATTCTGATGCACAAGTGGACTAAAAGTGGTCTTAAATAATGAAATCTATCTCCATATTTAACAACACTCTTCATCAATGTTGAATAGCCCACAGCATAATGCTCCCACCACCGCGTTTTTAATGTGAGTATGGTAATAAAGTTTTTGGGAGGATTTTTTATCTAAAAAAATCTTTAATCTTTTTTTTGATTTAACTATTATTCCAATTGGATTTTATTTCAATTCTAAATGGTTTGTGCACAGTTATGAAACACATTTTTTCCCCCCGCCATTGACCCAGGTGTATCTATTGTACGGTTTATGTCACAATAAGACTGGAGAAGGTTTTAAATTTCTTTTATCTCACAAATACCAACAATTTGAAAAGAATTGGGCAGCATTTTAAGATCTTAAGCCCATTGATTCCTGTATTCCACTGCGTTTAGTGACTCTTAAATAAAACTGACTCTAATTAGTCCATTGCTAGAAAAAAAAGCATGTTTGTAAGTGAAAAAATAACTGTTCAATACTGTTCTTATACTGTAACCAATCTGTAATAATTCCCTGTACCTTTCTTCCTCTGACAGAAAACAAGTCCCCCCCGCGGTCATTTGGCCTGAACCACTCAGATTCCCTAAACAGGAGTGATCGTATAGAGGCCATCACGCCGACGCTGGGTAGCAGCAATAACCAGCTCAACTCGTTCCTTCATATCTACGTCCCAGATTACTCTGTCAGAGCGCGGTCGGACCTGCAGTACATCAAGGTGAGAACAACTGTCAGAAATTATTCAGAGAGCTCTGGGGCTCATGACCACATTTATTGCTGCTTATCGTTAATGTTTAGAAGAAGAAATTATTCAAATCTGAATATGAAACATGCCATCAAAAATCTGTTTTTTGACACATGTTTCTTGCTTGTCGACCAGAAAGTTGAAATCCCGGTTGATCTCAGTCCTCTACATGGCTTATGACAAACAAGACTCCCTACGGCTTTCTACCTGCTGTTTCTCCATAAAAGAAAGATTAGTGGTGTACAACTTTGTATGCCTCAAAATCATTTGTACCACTGGCAATGTAATGGATGACATAATGTTCATTTAATTGCATTTAATTGGAAGTTAGAATTGCATCCCTCAAATGATAATAAAACAACATAAAAATAGTTTAAAAGGAAAAACTTTTTAATAGAGCTGTATTATGCAAGTAATGGAACTTTAGTTAAATTTTGTTTTTTGTTGTTTTTCAACCCTATATTATTTAGGCTAAGAGAGCCCAGTCTCATTATAAAATAAAATGTAAACAAACTGTCAGTAAAAAAGCTATTTATATATTAGAGAATCTCTGCGTATTTTTAAAGGCATTCAAACACTTTTGAGCACAAATGTTTTTGGAGATTTCATGACCTTGACTGGGCTTAAGGTTCAGATGAGAAGACTTTATAAAAATCTAAAAAGGGGCAGTTGATGATAAAGATGATAGCTCATATCTGATGTGCTGCCTAGAAACATAGAGATCAATAAACCTTTGAACTCCCAGTAACTCACATTAATGCCCAGTTTATTGTCAACTGAATTTCATGCGCCTTCATTAAAGATATGCTTATCTTTTGACAGATCCAATATATTCTTAATTCTGCATTAAAATACCCTAAACATCTTCGGTTTCTTTACCAGTTCAGGTAACTGACCCCAACACCAACCTTTCCGTTCCCCAGGTGACTCGCCAACAGTACCAGAACGCCGTGATGGCGTCAAGGATGGACAAGACCCCCCAGTCCACAGACAGCGAGTTCACCAAGATTGAGCTTACATTGACTGAGCTTCACGATGGAGTGGAGATCCCGGCCCTCGTTACCACCACAGCCAGCACCACGACCACCTCCCCAGCCGTGGCTCTGGCCATGGGCAACGAGACGTCTCACCTGCTGAACCAGCAGCAGAACTGTGTGGGTCTGAGCCGGAGTAACCACAGTGCCCACAACGAGGGACCCATCTAGCCCTCAGCCCCCTGCTGCGCCTGGTGGAGAGTGAGACCCTCCATATGTAGAGCAGCGGCGTTAAGTGGAGAAGAGGGAAAGTGGGCCGAGTAAGGGTTCTGCTCCGACCTGAAGCACCCGCCCCCCACCCATACAGTCAATGAGATCTTTCCATTGTAAGGGGGATGGCAGCAGAGGGGATAATGGATGCTGCAATGTCCTGATCACCAGAACCTCCCACTGTACTGACAGAACCACTGCAGTGAGTTCCTTGTATGGTGACAGTCTGTCACTTTCGAAGCGGCGACTCGGACTTGAGGACGACGGAGTGCGGGTCCGCTCACAACATAACACAAAGCTTGCTGGACTTTCTCCTCAGGCCAAAGACTTTGGTCCCATCCCATCCCCTGACCCCCCCACGCCCCCCGGCACAGAATAAAACCCTCCACTCCGGTGCATCCTTCAGCGAGGCTCAGGCGACTGTCGGTCCCATCAGACTCACACACAGAGCGACTGTTCGTCAAAGACTGCACCAAAAGAAACCGTCAAATGAGAACCAAGAATGTTTTCTTCTTGTATTTATTTATTTTATAATATTGTTTGTATATATATGTACGGAGAAGAGATAATGAACAAAAAAGCATGTATCCCCAGAACATGCTACATATATGATGCATTCACTGCATATAGATGAGGGGGTGGGGATCTTTCACAGAGATACTATTGTGTCCTCCAAAGAAAGACCAACTTCTTTGAGTTAGTGTGCATTTATTAGCTTCAGCTTGCACACCCATTCACACATCTGTCATTAATTATTCTTCCTTTGATAAACCCATCTCCATTACTTTAATAAGAATAGTGCTGACACCTAGTGGCCTAGTTGCACACATCACAACATCCCACTTTCTTTTAGTTAAATGCTTCTTTCACTATAACATAAGAAACATCTCAAATATGTAAGAAAAACATTCTCAATGACCTTTACACTAATCAAGCATTTTCTTATTATTCAAAAAACAATACATACACTTTTATTTAATGTTGTTTGAGTCACAGATTTGGTGTCTAAGGTTTCCTGAATTCTCTTTTAGACCCTAACACGGGTTCGTCTTCTCTTTTCTTTGTTGAGTTTTGAAGAAAACTGAGAAGTTTATTCAAACTCATTGTTAACCTCAGTGTCTTCGGCCATTTCTGTGTTTAACAGGCTGCCCTTTTCAGTCCGCACTGCAAAATTTCAAGGTCAAAAAGTAGCTCTGCTTTTCCAACCATTGGGATCTACACCTCTTACTTGCAAGTTATAAAAGCTGCTCAACTGTTTCATTATAAACATGCTTTTGCACATCTTCAGCACTCTTAGCCTTCGCTGCAGCTTTGAATTCCTCTCCTTTATGTAACAAAGTAGGGGAGTTCTTAGTTTTCTGTTCATCAACAGTTTACCTGGCGATAGTCCACATTCCAGTGCTGACGCTCGATAGTTTGATAGAGCAAGGCAAGGCTGTGAGCTGCTATCAGTAGCTGTTTAAGAGTGTGAACTCTCAGCTGTCCCATTTGACTGAGGATGCAGTGGCTGGATGTCACATGTCCAAAGCCATAGTGATCTTAACTTGTTCCACTCCCTGCTACTAAACCGTGCTCCATTGTCTCTCACAACTATGTGTGGTACAGTAGCCATTTAAAGTTTCCTTGGCTGGTCCCCTAAAATTCCTTTTTAAACATCAATCTTTGTACTAAAATATTGTTTCTTTCATGATTTGTGGACATTAAGATCTAAAGAGAAACATTATCTCCTGGTCAGACCCTGTAATTCAGGGAAAGGGTGGAGACAGACTAATAGAAATGTCACGCCCAGGAGAAGGCCAGTGGCTGGAAGTTGGATTGGATTTGGCTGCTATTCGAATGGCGTTGGACTGGGAAGGGCCGTTTTGAATGGCTGCTACTGTAGACCACGTCTAGCAAAAATGGATTTTGCATCCATTGTCACAGAAGGTAAGGATGTGCTTGGCGGTAGGGGCATCTCAGGAAAGTTTGAGTGATAGTCCATGACGACTAAGTAATTTTTTTAATCCATTGCAACTTTATGCCACAGTGCTGCGAGCATACCTGTAATGATCACGGTCTCTTCGTCAGCTATCACATTTCACTATCCATCTTTCAAAATCTTTATTTATTCTTGGCCAGAGTCTTCTCTTTCATTTTTCAGTACTCCTCATGTTCTCTATTCACGGTGTATTTAATGTAATCTCTGTGGGATGACAATCCTGTTTTGCTTTAAGAGCAGTCCATCCACAAAACTTCACTCTCCCCTGATATGGTTGAACAGTAGACTGGATCCTGCTGGCCATGTCCGTCCATGTGATCAATGGTGTTCTTAAAGTGAATATAAGCTTGAACACCTTTAAGTCCGTCAACTTTATGTTTGATTGCTCTATGAAATATTTCAGATACTGAGATCATTCCACAAGGTAACCTTAGGAAATTGTATCTGCCAAAGGGAGTGTTGATAGTACAGTAATTGCTTCTTCTGTCATTGAGTATAAGTTGCCAAAAACCTGAATATTTGGCTCCCAGCATTTCACTTGTGATCTTTTTCACATTTAAGTATCTACTAATGTTCACGTTTAATGATGTCATCTAAGTCCTTCATGCCTCTATTCTTTTTCTACTCGCACCACGGACCTCAGCCAGTCTGTTGGTCCACACCAGGCGTTATTATGTACTCCAATTCCTTTACTTTTTCTCCCAGAGGTGCTGGAACTCGTCTAGCAGGATGTACATTATCTTTTAATTGGATTTTAAATGTAAATGGCTGCATAATTGTGCATTACAGTTTCAACAGTCATTTACTGTACTCATAATGATCTGATGTGATTCGCCCTATCATTGCCTAGATGTTCAGTGCTTTAATGCAGACCAGGTTTGCCTCAGCACCTGTGTCCAATTTCATGACCACATCAGTCCCATTAATCTGCAGTGGTGCTATCCATTTATCTTCTTGCACAGTGTTAAACAGTTTGTGTGTCGTCTTCACTGTTCACTACACACACAAATGTGTCTCAGAGTTCATCATCTTCCACTATGTTGACAGATTTCCCTTTCTTTTCATTTTAAGAGGCACTATTCAACAAAATGATTTGATCCTCTGCACTAAGAAGATTAACAGAAGCAGGACTTTTGTTTGGGCCTGTGTCGTAAACCACATTGCTTGCACGCAAACGTCTCTTCTTCTGATTCATTTACGAGCTGATTTCACCTGTCATGTCTTAACTTTTCTGGAAACCGCACCAACAGTTGAATCGTCGATCAAATTGGCTATCTCTTTAAAAGTCCTCAGGTGTGTCCTGGAGAGTTCACTGGCTCTTTCTTTCCCGTGTAAGTTGTGTCTCTCTCAGCAGCCTGTCTCTGGCTTGTTTTGTCCCCCCCCACACTAAACACAACCTGGTCCCTGATCATGAAGTTGAGGAGTCAAAGTTGCACGGCTGAACTTTCAACTTCAGGTCAAATAGAAAAACATCTAATGGTTCCTGCTGTTGCTGTGCATTAGATCGGAACACATGCATCAAATTGTTCAAGAACTATACCTAAGCTCTATCTTTATCCTCTCTGTTACTAAACTTAAAGGTGTTGAACACATCAATGGCTTGTGGGCCTGAAAATGTTGATATTACCCGTTACTTTCAAAGTGTGTGGCGGCATCAGATCATACGTGATTCCTCTGGTCACCAAGACCTTCCTTTGACTCCTGACACCATGTTCTCCAAAGCAAAACCAACTTCTTTGCGTTTCTTTCTTAGCTTCATCATACACAACCATTTACATGCCTGTCATTAATTCCTCACCCTGTTCTTATCATTCTTATCATCTCCATTATGTTCCTAAAAACTGCTGACACCTAGTGGCATACAGTAGTTGCACATATCACAACAGACACTTCGTACATTACAGACCATTATCCTAAATCAGGCATATAGTATCTTTTTCACCTTTTAAAATAAGAAAAATCACACTATTGCCTTGAAGAGAAATTATATAGTTATTTTAACAAAGTGCAATGAACCTATGATTTATTTAAGAGATGATTATAAAGAAGATAATTCAGTGTATTATAAATTGACTGATATATTTGTATGTTTGTGCTGTCTTTATATATGTTTTTGAGACGTGCTGAGCTGCAGCCATGTGATGTGTCTCATTCTCTTTGTCTCTGTCACGTTTTTGACCTCAAAGCACGTCTGGCTCATGTGATGCCTTAAGCAGTTACTGCAGCATATTTCTGGGCGGGGGGGAAGAAGGGGTGAAAGTGCCAACCAACAAAGGTATCTATGCATGTGAGGTTATGTGTTTTTTTTTTATGCCTTTTGTTCAAATTTCACGCATAATCAAACGTGAGAACTGCACAGTATTAATGACCTCGTCCTAACACGTCAGAAAGACCAACCTCAACATTAAATGATGCACAGCTAATGCTTCTCCACTGTTTTTATTATGAATGTGTCTTATTTTTATTTTATCCTGTTATTTTGCTTTTTTTTTTAGTTATTTTGGACAATGTGACAGAGACCAGGCTTTGACTCGCTGTTTTGGCTTCCCTACAGATTGTAGTTTATAACCCAAGCTTATTAATTACAGAGTCGATTTAGATCAGATTTTAAGATGTTCTTCAACAATGCTGGCTGCTATTAAAGAGAGACATTTATACATGGTTCTGCCTTTTTATCTGAGATATACTAATTGTTTTTCTTTTGCATGATCAAAAACACACATTTTGAAGGATATGAAGGAATGGGCAAGTCAAGCAAACACTGCTCATAAAGTCACCACCAATTAGAGGGCTGCTTTGTAAACACTGGCTTTCTACTCCCTGTACAACTCCTTTAATACTAATACAAGTCACAGTTTCACATACATAGACAAGATGTTCTCTGCAATCTGACATGAGGAATGAAAGATGTTCTTTAGAAAAGTTGATTTAAAGAGGCTTCCTCAGTAGTATACCTCAGCTGTTTACCATCAGACACCCTCCCCTGAGGAAAGCCCTGCAGGGGTGGGCAGTTCTCCAAAAGGCAAACTCCCAAGTGCAGATGGACGCATTCTTTCGGTAGTTTCCTTAGGGTGGTGCCTTTTAGTTCTGTGGAAAGATGGGAGCCACATTGGGGAGGGAGAGGGAAAAAAAGCATATATCGCACTTTGACCTTGACAGGGTACAGTTTGAGATATCAAGAAACACCTCAGCGCAAGAAAAGCACATATAAATAATATAACAGCTATAATTGGTTTTTGATGTTTTAAGTTAACATTTTTATGGCACATTTACCTTTTGCAGTGTGGCTCTATAGTTTAACAGTGAGCTGGTTAGAATAATCAGTTGTCCAGCAGCAAACCTGTAGCCGCCTGTTTCAGTCCTGCTGTCTGACTGCAGGTTTAATCCCTTTTGCGGCAGAGGCTGCTGAATCAATCCAAGCAGTGGATTATAATTCAAGACAGATACCTTTGTATGATAACAACTATCAGCCTTCAAAACCATTTTATGCACAGTTAGAAATTGAAATGCTGTCCTCACTGATAGCAGAGTTACAGGTTATTAGGTCATTTGAGACGACTTCGACCAAGGTAACTTTGTTTAGAAGAAAAGACTTAGTTTAACTTGGAAGTAGTGAGAAATTGTATGTTTAATAAGTTTAAAAACTTCACTGCTCAAGGTGGCTGCATGCTGGAATAGCCCTGAGTATAAACCCAGTATAAGCATACATTTTTTTCTCCATACCTTCAAAGTAAGATCATTATGTGAATAGATGGGGAATGGTTAATCCTACAAACTTGATGTCAAAAGGGGTTTTGCTTAATGGTGGAGAGAGATATGTCACTGTAAATTGTACAGAGAGATACTGTAGTGTTAAAGCTGGTGTTCTAGCCATAAACCTGTGGAAGAGTTTTCACCAAAAAAAAAAAAATAAATAAATAAGACCTTTTCTGACTTTTATCTTAGAATACAGACTTTAATTTAGGAATTTAGACTTTTTTTTTTCCTAAATTCTCATTCTAATCCCAAAGTTCCTTTAATCTCAGAACTCTGACTTTTCTTATTGAAAAACATAAAAGAGTCTGAATTCATACTTTTACCTCAAAATTCTGATTAAAAACCCCATGCCTTATTATTATTATTTTATAGAAATTTATTTTTCTATAAAATAACCACCAGATTTTATGTTAGGGTTTCTAAGCATTGCATCCCTGCGATGCTTAGAATAAAATAATCACCAGATGTATTGCTAAGTTCTTGTTAAAGTCTGCTTCAGAGAGAAAAGCTGTTTCTCTTGTAGTGGAGCAATGGTATCAATAAAAAAAAGATTAAATAATTATGTTTTAAAGACAAAGAAACACCCTCTAGCTAAAGGACTCATGTTGGTTTTATTTTATTTTATTGATTTTTTCTTTATAGCTAATTTCTAGTTTCTAGTCTTTAGATAATTTTTGACAATACCTTACAGCGGTATTCTAGTTGTAAAAAAAAAAGAAGGGGGATGGTGGATTTTTTTTTTTTTTTTTTTTTTTTGAAGCATACGTAGCCCAATTAATATAGTTTATTAACATAAAGCAATCCATATTGCATTGCTTTTGGTTGCATATACCAATATACCCATATACAATGGCTATCACTACCCCTACATAGTTATTGACAAATGCAGAAGACAAATTTCCCACTGGGGTCAGCTTCATAGTCATGGTAGGACACTTATTTTACTCAGGCTACCCATAAACCCACAGTGAAAAGGCAATATTTTTGCTATTACTGTTAATATATTGCAGAAATTTTACACATTCAGTTATAAAATGTTACAGGGGATGGTATTGGGGGATGATTTTCAAGAAACCCCTATGTGTGTTGGAAAGAAGCATAACTTCATGGCCTCGCCTGTCTTTTTACATGATGTTATGTGTTCTGCCTGTTAATTCTTCTCATCACAAACTTTAAGCTGAGCCCCTTCAAAATGAAGTTACTGATAGTAATCACCAGTGGTCGCTGTTTTCTGGGGTATTTTGGTACTTTACGGGCACTTTACAGTTCACCAGATCATACAGTCAAATTAATTTAAAGTCTTCTATCTAAGGAAAACCAGTTGATTGCATCGAGGAGACGAGGCAAAGCTACTATGAGAAAAAGCAGAGAGCATAACGTGAACTAACAGATTCTGCAGAGTGGGAGATAGAATGATAAAATATGGGTCCCTATGTAATCCAGGGGTCTAAGCCTATAGCTCAGGATAACCTGAGCCACTCTAACTATAAGCTTTATCAAAAAGGAAAGTTTTAAGCCTACCCTTAAAAGTAGACAGGATGTCTGCCTCACAGACTAAAACTGGTAGTTGGTTCCACAGGAGAGGAGCCTGATAACTAAAAGATCTGCCTCCCATTCTACTTTTAGAAATTCTAGGAACCACTAGTAAACCTGCAGATTGAGAGCGAAGTGCTCTGCTAGGAACATAAGGAACAATCAGATCTCTGATATAAGATGGAGCTTGGCCATTTAAGGCTTTATATGTGAGAAGGAGGATTTTAAATTCTATTCTGGATTTAACAAATGAAGAGAAGCCAGGATAGGAGAGATATGATTGCAGTGTGGCTGCACTAAGCCTTCTGCCATCGTGCTATACTGGTGTACTTGTAGACTTTACATTTATTTTGCCAGTTCTACCAGTGTGTTGTTGCATGTCAGTTTGTTGACATTTCACAGATTTATACTGTAGAAGTGCTTAGTTGTTGTCATCTATTGGCGGTATTTATGTACTACATTTAAGAGTTTCTGATGATGTCATAAAAAGCAGACCAGGCAGGAGAACACAAAGTATGGTTTTCTCTCAGTAACACTTCAACATCGATTTAGTTGGTCTTTGAAAGCACCATTGGTATGTGTTCAATTTTGCAATGGATATTTGTGGACTAAGAATAATTGAGCCATTTGTATAAAGCAATATTTCTTTTATAAGTGCCTTTACAGCATCGAGCTAATTATTTCTCTGGAGCACATTTATTGCACTTTTATGTGCTGTATTGGTTGCTACTGTGTATTATTTCTGAAAGTGTGTATGTTTATTTTTCAGTTTTACCCTACTCCAACTGGCTTCAGTAAAGAGTCAGCGTAAGCCTTCTTGTCTTCTGGTCATTTTGGAAAGGAGTTAATCTGAATGTTGACTCCAACAAGGCAATGGAGGTTGAGGACACGACAACCAGCAACTCATGTTCCTGCACTTATCTAATCAAGTGTACCTCTTTTTGGCGTTTGAGCTGTATAGTAACAGTTTGTCATTAAATTCCTGACTGTTCGACATATAAAAAATTGTAGCACAAAGAACTTCATTGTTGTTTTATATGAGAGATTTGTGGCTGAAATTTTGTTGGAATTAATGATTCACTCTGCTGAAAACATTGATTCCAAAAATCTATGAATCCGTATAAGAAACGCATCTAATTGGTTGGAGTGTAATGAGAACTTTCTTTCCAACATCCACAGCAGGGATGTCAATCTCAAGTCCTCAGCGGGATGGTATGCTGCAACCTTTAGATGTCGACATGGTCCACCATGCTCGAATCAAATGGCTTAATTACCTCTTCAGTTGAAGTCAAGTTACAGTATACCAAGTCCTGCAAAGGACCCAGTCATTTGATCCAGCTGTGTTAAAGTAGGGACACATCTAAAATGTGAAGGACGTCATCTCATAAGGGACTTTATTCTGACGTCTCAGATGTAGGCTACAGCAGTAAAGGACTTGCCAATTCTGATGCTTTTTGCTTCCTATTCGAGCTGAAATACACAACAGACCAAGGAGGACTTCAAGAAACCCTCAAAACGGACTATAACAGGAGGCAACTGGGCTTTGGTTAAGTTTCAAGTTAAGGTTAAGGAGTTTTTGCCAATCCTGTTGGCCCACACTAAAGAAATCTTTTGTCG